CCAGATAATGAAAACAGACAGAACACTGCCTAACTCATTCTATAAGGCCAGCATTACCCTCATCTCAAAACCAAATAAAGGTATTACAAGAAAGGAAAACTATAGATTAATATCCTTTATGAAGATAAAGGCAAAAATTCTCAACAAAATATTAGCAAATTAAATCCAAAGGTGTGTAAAAAATTATCTACCATCACCAAATCAGATTTAGTACAGGGATGGAGGGCTGGTTTAACATTCAAAATCCATAAATGTAATCAACCACATCAATGGACTAAGGAAGATACATCAAAGGACTCTATCAATTCACAAAGAAAATGCATTCAACAAAACCCAAAGCCCACTCATGATAAAAACTCTCAACAAACTGGGAATAGGGGAGAATGGCCTCAATTTAATAAACAACATCTGCAAAATACCTATAGCTAGCATTATACCTAACAGTTCCCTAAGATTGAGAACAAAACAGGGACATACTCTCACCACTGCTATTCAACCCCTAGCTATTGAAATAAAAGGGAACAAAAGACATACAAACTGGAAAGATGAAATGAAACCATCACTATTGCTCAGGCGACCTAATTATCTAGGTAGAAAAGCTCAGGGAACTGACAAAAGAGAGACAAAAAAAACCTCCAAGAACAACAGCAAGGTCACAAGATATAAGGTTAATATACAAAAGTCAATTTCTTTCCCACAAACCGGCAATGAAAAATTCACATTTGTAATTGCTTTAAATACCATTAAAATAGCCCTCCAAAAATGAAATTCTTAGGTATGAATCTAATAAAATATGTCAAGTATCTAAATGTGAACAACTACAAAACACTGATAAAAAGCAAAGAGGACTGGGTGCAGTGGCTCTCATCTGTAATCCCAGTACTTTGAAAGGCCAAAGCAGGAGGATTGCTTTTGTCTAGGAGTTTAAGACTGGCCTGGGCAACATAGTGAGAACTTGTCTCTATTAAAAAAAAAGAAAAAGAAAAAAAGAGCAAAGAGTAATAACTGCTTCAGATTTACAAAATTATTGGCCGGGCGCAGTGGCTCATGCCTGTAATCCCAGCACTTTGGGAGGCCGATGCGGATGGATCACCTGAGGTCAGGACTTCGAGACCAGTCTGACCAACATGGAGAAACCCCATCTCTACTAAAAATACACAAAATTGTCTGGGCGAGGTGGCGCATGCCTGTAATCCCAGCTACGTGGGAGGCTGAGGCAGGAGAACTGCTGAACCCAGGAGGCAGAGGCTACAGTGAGCCTAGATTGCACCATTGTACTCCAGCCTGGGCAACAAGAGTGAAACTCTGTCTCAAAAAAAAAAAAAAAAAAAAGATTTATAATTATTGCAAAAACAGTACAGAAAATTCCTATATACACTACACCCAATTTCCCTTATTATCTAAAAGTAAACTGTGTGAAAACAATAACATAAAAAATAGAAGGGGACTGCATGGAATTATATTTTTGCAAGGTTCTTTTGTTATATATTTATTGTATAACATTATTAATTCAAGATTAGCTGTGATAAAGTAAGAATACATAGTATAATCCAAAGACTAACCACAAAAGGCATACCTAAAAAGCCAACAAATAAATAGAATGGAATGCTAAAAAAAATAAATTGATAACCCAGAAGAAGACATAAAAGAGGAACAAAAGATCAAATAACTGATAGGACTAACAGAAGTCAAATATCAATACAGTATTCACCGGTAATGTAAAAGAAAACAAGTCAATAATTACATCCAGTGTAAAAGAAATAAACTCTCCAATTAAACAACAGAGATTGTTAGATTAAATTTAAAAACCAAAACCCATAACATATAAACACTAGTACCCACACATAGTAGACTTTAAGACAAAGAGAAATATATATTTGGTCTTCTTTCCACTTCCTGGTATACAACTCCTAAAATCCTTAGAATCTCCAAAATGTTGTTTTTTTGTATGCTAATGTTGACTGACAGCTTCAGGGTAGGCTTAGTCACTGGAAAGACAAAGGGGAGCGAGAGCGGCTAAAGACCAAGTTGTTCACCCATGGCCAGTTGTTCATGAATAATGAAACCTAAATAAAAACCTAAGAGGACAGGATTCAGAGAGCTGAACATGCAGCCATTCCCGGAGGGTAGTGCCCCAGGGAAGGCATGGAAGCTCTGCACCCCTTTCTCTGTACCTTGTACTACATATCTCATATGTATCCTTTGTAATATCCTTTATCATAAACTGCTAAACATTAAGTGTTTCCAATTAACTGAAGCCAAACCAAGAGTTGTGGAAGCCTCAACTTGAAGCTGATCAGTCACAAGTTCCTGAGGCCCAGGCTTGTCAATGGTGTCTGAAGTGGGGAAAGGGCAGTCTTGGGAACTGAGCCCTCATCCTGTGGGATGTGACACTATCTCCAGTTAGATAGGGTCAGAATTGAATTGAAGGACACCCAACTGGCGTTATTACAAAATTGACTGCCTGCTTGCTTGCTTGTGGGGAGAAAGCCTCACACATTTGGGGGTCACAGAAGTCTTCTGTGTTGAAGTTTGTGGTGTTGACACCACAGCAGAGGAAAAACGTTTGAGCATTTTTCCAACAACATGTAATAATGATAAAAGGACCAATGCATCAAGTAAACATAACAACACTAACGGCCGGGCGCGGTGGCTCACGCCTGTAATCCCAGCACTTTGGGAGGCCGAGGAGGGTGGATCACGAGGTCAAGAGATCGAGACCATCCTGGTCAACATGGTGAAACCCCGTCTCTACTAAAAATACAAAAAAAAAAATTAGCTGGGCATGGTGGCACATGCCTGTAATCCCAGCTACTCAGGAGGCTGAGGTGTGATATTGTGCTGGCCTAGAGCCAGAACCTAAGCAACACTATTTTATAAAATGCAAAACTGTTTTTAAATAAGTTGAAATGGCTGCCCCATTCTCCTCACAATAACTACTGTCCTTGGCCTCTGTAAATAGAACTGCTAGTTTGTTCTTCAAAACTATGTAAAGCTGCTTACCTTTTCTTATCAGTAACTGCCAGAATTGCTAGCCTTTGCTTACCGGCAATTGCCAGACTAAGCAGCCCAAGCTAGTTCCATCCTGGCTCCTGTGACTTGTAATAAGTAACTAAGGTCTGTGATTTCCACCTTAACCAGATAATGTGTAAATAAATGTTTATCTTGACTTCTGTAAACCACTTAAGTAACAAACGGAATGACAAAAGTCCCCTGGCCCTTGGAATGTCCGGAGACCCCCACCCTCATCTCTGCCCAGGAGGTAATTTACAGAATCCACTAGCCCTCGGAATGTCTGAAGCCTTTTCATCCCCATGCCCGCCCCTCACCCCCACTCCCAAGGTGGTTTTTCGGGTATAAAAAATCGTGGCACCCTCCTGTTGCCACCACAGGTTGGAGAGACGTGAGTCCTCTGTGGTCGCCGGCATAATAAATGACCCTGCAATCTGGCATACTTTTGTCTTGTGGTAACTTTCTACGCTCCGGTCAAATACAACAGAGGCAGGAGAATTGCCTGAACCCAGGAGGCAGAGGTTGCGATGAGCCGAGATCACGCCATTGCACTCCAGCCTGGGTAACAAGAGCGAAACTCCGTCTCAAAAAAAAAAAAAAAAAAAAACACTAACTACATACTCACCTAAAGACTTTTCAAATAGATGAAACAGAAACCAAAAGAACAAAATGTAAAAATAAGCAAATCCCTAATTATTGCTGGAGATTTTAACATAATTTCCTTGCTATTTGAGAGAAAATGTGCTCATAAAATCAGTCAAAATACAGAAGATTTGAACAACACTATCAACCCTCTTGACCTAATTGATAATTTGTATAACACTGCATCTGACAACTGAGAAATAGTCTTTTCTTTATTTTTTTTTGAGACAGTCTTGCTCTGTTACCCAGGCAGTAATGAAGTGGCGTGATCTTAGAAATGGACAGGTTTAAACATGCAGAAATCAATCAATATAATCCACTATATTAACAGAATTTTAGAGAGATTCTACATGATCATTTCAATAAATGCATTTCACGAAACTCAACACTCACTCATAAAACCTCGGCACTTTAGAAACTGATAAACAACATTACAAAAATGAAGATGTAGAGATATACTGTATAACATGGTTATTCCAGTAAATGTATACTTGAAAACGGCCATGAGAGCAGGTCTTAAATGGATTCAGGGTTAATATATAAAAACCAACTGTTTTCTGATATACTGGAAGCAAAAATTTACAAAGGACACCTTTGTTTTAAAAAAAAAAAAAAAGTGTACGTCTCTTAATCATTCCCCCACGATTTCATCATGTACTCTAATAAAAGCTGAAATTAATCATTCAGTTACCACACTTACATTGAACTGCTTTAATTTAAAATTCATCAGCAAATAATAATTTACTGGGCAGGCCCAGTGGCTCATACCTGTAGTCCCAGCTACTCAGGAAGCTGAGGTGGGAAGATCACTTGAGCCCAGGAGGTAGAGGTTACATTGAGCCAAAATTACACTGCTGCACTCCAGCCTGGGCAACAAAGTGAGATCCTACCTTGAAAAATAGTAACAATAATTTACTGAGTAAGCACCATATTAGGCACCATAGGAAAAAAACTGAACTAAATCTAATACAAGAAATCTACAAAAAAAAAAAAAATGTTGTAGAAGATATTTAAAAAAAAAAAAAAAGAACCCTACCATCTACCAACTGGAAGGCACTTTTAACAAAAATGACATAAAGTATATTTGCCTTTTAAGCTAAACATATATTACTATGAAATTCAGATAATGCTATCATTCCTTAGTTGAAACTTTTTTTTATTTGATTTTGCTTTGTTTTCGTCTTGTATTATTTTGTGTGGTCGGGGGTTAGCAGAACTTAAATTTTTTGACTATATCCACTCTTTAGACCATGAATAAGCTGAAAGAAATGAATGACCTGAAAGAAACGATTATTAAAGATCTGTATAGAAAAGAATTATTTACATTACCCTAACAGTTAATTTACCTTTCTTCACTGAAGCGACGACCGATCTTTACTTTGCACTTGTCCTGGGGGAGGCACGCTGCTAGGAGAGGAACTGTCCGCAACACTTTGTTTTCCTTTAATTAAAAAATGAATTAAAACATAGACTTTTACTTAGATATATACACTTTTAAATATTTTATGATGAACATCTGATTTATAACTTTATGTATAAGTTTCACAAGTCTTTTATTAAAGACCACAGCTTAATAAAAAGAGGTAAAATTTCTTTGCTTTATCAGTATTAACAATAACACAAGCACACCTTTTTATTCTATTTGGGTATGTTTACAGGTTAACTGATCAAAGAAGATTACATTAATATATATAATGATTACGATTATTATAATGTAAATTTGTGTTTAGCTAAATTGAATCATTTATTCTGACAAGTTTTTTATTTCATGAGTAATTACATTTTGCACTATGTCAGCTTGAAGATAATTGCCTAGGTCTTATGTCTCAAAAACAAGGAAGTGCTCAGAAAACAAAACAAGAGGTTCTTCCCAGCATAGCCTCTTTATTTAAACTAAAAAAAAAAAAACAAAACAATGGGACATGTCAAAGGGACAGAGAAGCCAATCTCAAAGAACTCCCAATGGCTAAAATAGAACAATTTGAGCAACAAAATAAATAACACAATACTGGGTTATAACCCAAAGTACAAATTAAGAGTCCAGAATGATATAAATAAATGACTTAATGGGGGAGCAGAAACAAATCTTCCTTACAAAAGAATTCCAAATAATAAATGTAAATACTTCCCCTTCTAGAACATGGAGCTTAATCTCTTCCTCCCACTTGAGTATGGCTGGATTTATGGCCTTGCTTCCAAAGAATATGGGGTATGGAAAGAGAACAAAAATAATAACTTTAGAGTGGAGAAATCTGGGGGCTATTTTTGAAAATGCCATTAACTTGATTATCGTGAGTGGTTTCTTCAATATTCTAGCTTCCAACGCTGGAAACCATCTTTCTTGTTGCCACGAGAATTCTATCTTGAAGCCCATAGAGCCAAGTGATTTGTCACTCTGCCTTAGGTGGTTTTAGGACATTTTCTAATGTTTAATAGAATGTTCTTCTCTCCTTACCATCACCATGAGACTGTGACACAGACTTAACCACTTTCTAAACCTTTATCAAAATAATACATGTATATATATCAAATTAAATAGGGCTAAAAGATTTAAAATGCCACAGTTGTTCCCAGATGTACTCCCCAGTACCACTTCCTGGAGGCAATCATTTTAACTCTTTTGGTTACTTCTTCTGGCAGTCATCTCCATATATCCACATAATATACGGGGTTTTTTCCCTATTTTTTGATTTATCAATTTTAGATATTATCTAAAAACTACCAATTATCATCATAACAGCTAATATTAAAGCACATATTTCTAAGTGCAATACACAGAGAGAGAAAGAAATATAACTTTTGTCATATCCATTTTACTAATGAGGCAGAGAGATATTAATTAACTTGCCCAAAGTTACAGAGTTTACAGAACTATTAAGAATTTGGCCAGACACAGTGGCTCATGCCTGTAATCCCAGCACTTTGGGAGGCTGAGGCAGGCGGATCATGAGGTTAGAAGATCACGACCATACTGGCTAACAAAGTGAAACACCATCTCCATGAAAAATACCAAAAAAAAATTAGCCAGGTGTGGTAGCACGTGCCTGTAGTCCCAGCTACTCAGGAGGCTGACGCAGGAGAATCACTTGAACCTGGGAGGCAGAGGTTGCAGTGAGCTGAGATCTCACCACTGCACTCTAGCCTGGGTGACAGAGCGAGACTCCGTCTCAAAAACGAAAAAAAAAAGAATTTGAACTCAGGCAGTTTAGCTCCAGAGTCCTTAAGTAGTGCCTCTCATAACAAATGAGGATTTAGCTTTCCAACACCACTCCTTCTTCTCACATCTAATATTTTTATTTAAGTCAGTAAACAGTATTTGCATCTTCATGACTAAATATACATTGTTCACAAAGGCCAAATAGTTTAACATAAGATTTCTTTCTTGTAAAGCTTTTTGTTATTTTTGAGATAACTTTTCTGTTTTAATCATTAAGTAATTTTATATACATGTGTAGGAGTTCAGTCATGGTGGTGGGAAAAATTGTAAAATGGATACAAACCCTCTTGGAAGGTTTGGCAAAGCCTTGGGAAGAAGTTTATGGCTGAAGGTAGCCAGTGTAGGGCAAGTTACAAGAGAGTGCAAGGAAATTTATCCAGATTAGTTTGTTTACCTGTTTCCCCAGAAACCAAGCTTTGACCATCCTGAGAAAAACTGTTACCTACTCTGGCGATCCATAAAGTTAATTACCCACAAATGGTATTTGCTTTAGGCCTTTGTCATTAAATCTATACTAAGTAAAGGCCCCTAGGCCCCCTTTTCAGGCTGCTTGGGCTGCCGACTTTTTATAGCACCCTCCACAGTGTCTGTGAGTGGCCTGGTCTCCTAGCCCGCTCTTTCACTGGATATCTGTGTCTGAGTGCACCTTTGTTCAACCGTCGCTGGGTCAGGGTCTGTGGGTCAGACCCAACATATATATACCTATTCTGTGAAATGCTCCATCATATCACGTCCATATCATCTCCTCCACCAAGTCTTCTTTTTCCAAAGCCCCCTCCAAGAGCCTATCCAAATGGTTTTTAGTAACTTTTTGATGGGAGAGTGAAAAAACTAGCATAACCTTTTATTGAAAATGGTGTGCTAAAGTTAAGCACAGGTAGCCCATTATTAATAAGTTAGATGAAGATTGGAAAATTCCTTTGCTGAATATGGCCAGGCATGGTGGCTCATGCCTGTAGTCCCAGCTCTTAGGGAGGCAGATGCTGGAGGATACCGTGAGTCCAGGAGTTTGAGACTTACCTGGGCAATATAGCGAGACCCCATTCTTAAAAAAAGAAAAATAGTAATAAAATAGAAAATTCCTATGCTGAGAAGGAAAAACTGTAGGGATGTACTTGTATACACATAAAATATGTTTGTAGCACACACAATGATGAATGAATTAAATCATGGATTAATAATAGTAAAAAATAAATTTAAAACATTTGAGACCTGGGGAAAAAAGGTGGTTATGAATTCCGCTGCAGGAAACGTACATGTACCTGCCCAGCAGCTCTGAACAGAACAGCGAAGCTCACAGCTCAGCACTTGAGTTCCCATAAGGGGCAGACCACCTCCTCAAGCAGCTCCCCATCCATTGTATAACCAAAGAGACACCTCATACAGGAGAGCACAGGCTGACATCTGGCGGGTATCCTTCTGGGACAATGATAACAGAAGAAGAAATTGGCAGCAACCCTTACTGTTCTGCAGTCGCTGCAGGTGATCCCCAGGCAAGCAGGATCTGGAGCGAACCTCCAAAAGTCCTACAGCGGGGGACCTGATGATTAGAAGGAAAACTAAGAAACAGAAAGAAATAACTTCCTCAGCAACAAAAAAGACATCCACTCAGAGACCCTGTCTGAAAGTCACCAACCACAAAGAACACAGGTAGATAAATCCACAAAGATGGGAAGAAACCAGCCAAAAAGGATGAAAATACCCAAAACCAGAATGCCTCTCCTCCTCCAAGGGATTGCAACTCCTCACCAGCAAGGGAACAACAAGGCTGGATGGAGAATGAGTCTGATGAATTGAAAGAAACAGGCTTCAGAAGGTGGGTAATAACAAACTTCTCTGAGCTAAAAGATCATGTTCTAACCCAATACAAAGAAACTAAGAATCTTGAAAACAGGTTTGATGAAATGCTAATGAGAATAAACAGCTTAGAGAGGCACATAAATAAACTGATGGAGCTGAAAAACACAACACGAGAACTTCGTGTAGCATACACAAGTTTCAATAGCCAAATCGACCAAGAAAGGATAGCAAAGATTGAAGATCAACTCAATGAAATAAAATGAGAAGGCAAGATTAGAGAAAAGAGAGTAAAAAGAAATGAACAAAGCCTCCAAGAAATATGGGATCATTTGAAAAGACATAATCGACATTTGATAGGTGTACCTGAATGTGATGGACAGAATGAATCCAAGTTGGAAAACACTTTTCAGGATATTATCCAGGAGAACTTCCCCAACCTAGCAAGGCAAAGGAACATTTGAGTCCAGGAAATACAGAGAATACCACAAAGATATTCCACAAGAAGAGTAGGCCCAAGGCATATAAACATCATATTTGCCAAGAATGAAGGAAAAAGTGCTAAGGGCATCCAGAGAAAAAGGTCGAGTTACATGCAAAGGGAAGCCCATCAGACTCACAGCGGATCTCTCAGCAGAAACCCTACAAGTCAGAAGAGAATGGGGGCCAATATTCAATATCTTTAAAGAAAAGAATTTTCACCCTAGATTTCATATCCAGCCAAACTAAGCTTCATAAGTGAAGAAAAAATAAAGTTATTTATGAACAAGCAATTGCTCAGAGATTTCATCACCACAAGACGACCTGCTTCACAAGAGCTCCTGAAAGAAGCACTAAACATAGAAATGAACAACCAGTACGAGCCCCTCCAAAAACAAACCAAATAGTAAAGAGCACTGACACAATGAAGAAACTGCATCAACTATTGGGCAAAACAACCAACTAGCATCAAAATGGCAGGATCAAATTCACATATAACAATATTAACCTTCAATGTAAAAGGCCTAAATGCCCTAATCAAAAGACACAGACTGGCAAATTAGATAAAAAGTCAAAACCCATCGGTGTGCTATATCCAAGAAACCCTTCTCACATGCAAAGATATACACAGGTTCAAAATAAAGAGATGGAGGAAGATCTACCAAGCAAATAGGGAGCAAAAATAAGCAGGAATTGCAATCCTAGTCTCTAATAAAATAGACTTTAAACCAACAAAGATCAAAAGAGGCAAAGAAGCACATTACATAATGGTAAAAGGATCAATGCAGCAAGAAGAGCTAATGATCCTAAATAAATATGTGCCCAAAATAGCAGCACCCAGATACATAAAGCAAGTTCTTAATGACCAACAAAGAAATTTAGACTCCTACACAATAATAGTGGGAAACTTTAACACTCCTCTGTCAATATTAGATCAATGAGACAGAATATTAACAAGAATATCCAGGACTTGAACTCAGATCTGGACCAAGCAAACCTAATAGACATTTACAGAACTCTCCATCCCAAATCCACAGAATATACATTCTTCTCAGCACCACATCACACCTACCCTAAAATTGACCACATAAATTGAAAATAAATCACTCCTCAGCAAATGCAAAAGAACGGAAATCATAACAAACAGTCTCTCAGACCACAGTGCAATCAAATTAGAACTCAGAATTCAGAAACTAACTCAGAACAGCACAACTTCATGGAAACTAAACAACTGGCTCTTGAATGCTGGCTAAACAATGAAATGAAGGCAGAAATAAAGATGTTCTTCAAAACCAACGAGAATGAAGACACAACATACTAGAAACTTTAAATGTGGAAGCATTGAAAGCAAGGAAAGATCTAATATCAACATCCTATCGTCAAACCCGAGAGTTAAAGCAAGATCAAAAAAACTCAAAAGCTAGCAGAAGACAAGAAATAACTGAAGGAGATAGAGACATTAAAAAAAAACCCCTCAAAAAATCAATAAATCCAGGAGCTGGCTTTTTGAAATGATCAACAAAACAGAACACTGCCCAGATTAATAAAAAAGACAAGAGAGAAGAATCAAATAGATGCAATAAAAAACGATAAAGGGGATATCACCACAGATTCCACAGAAATACAAACCACCATCAGAGATTACTACAAACAACTCTATGCACATAAACCAGTAAACCTTGAAGAAACATACAAATTCCTGGACACTTGCACCCTCCCAAATCTAAACCAGGAAGAAGTAAAAACCCTGAATAGACCAATAACAAGGGCTGAAGTTCAGGCAGCAATTAATAGCTTACCAACCAAAAAAAGCCCAGGTCCAGCTGGGTTCAAAGTTGAATTCTACCAGACAACAAAGAGGAGCTGGTACCACTCCTTCTGAAACTATTCCAAACAATAAAAAAAAAGGGAATCCTCCCTCCTAAATCATTTTATGAGACCAATATCATCCTGATACCAAAACCAGGCAGAGACTCAACAAGAAAAGAAAACTTCAGGCCAATATCCATGATGAACATAGATGCAAAAATATTCAATAAAATGCTGGCAAACCGATTGCAACAGCACATCAAAAAGCTTATCCATCACCATCAAGTAAGCTTCATCCCCAGGATGCAAGGCTGGTTCAACATATGCAAGTCTATAAACGTAATTCACCACATAAACAGAACCAAAGACAAAAACCACATGATTATCTCAACAGATTCAGAGAAGGCCTTTGACAAAATTCAACAGCCCATATGCTAAAAACCCTCAATAAACTAGGTATTGACGGAAAGTAGCTCAAAATAATAAAAGGTATTTATGACAAACCAACAGCCAATATCATACTGAATGGGCAAGAACTGAAAACATTCCCTTTCAAATGTGGCACTAGACAATTGGAAGTTCTAGCTAGAGCAATCAGGCAAGAAAAAGAAATAAAGGGTATTCAATTAGGAAAGGAGGAAGTCAAATTGTCTCTATTTGCAGATGACATGATTGTATATTTAAAAGATCCTGCTGTCTCAGTTCAAAATCTCCTGAAACTGATAAGCAACTTCAGCAAAGTCTCAGGAAAAAAAAATCAATGTGCAAAAATCACAAGAATTCATATACACCAATAACAGACTTAAAGAGAGCCAAATCAAGAATGAACTGACATTCACGACTGCTACAAAGAGAATAAAATACCTAGGAATACAACTAACAAAGGATGTAAAGGACCTCTTCAATGAGAACTACAAACCACTGCTCAACAAAATAAGAGAGGAAACAAACACATGGAGAAGCATTCCATGCTTATGGTTAGGAGGAATCAATATTGTGAAACTGGCCATACTACCCAAAGTAATTTATAGATTCAATGCTATCCCCATCAAGCTACCTATGACCTTCTTCACAGAACTGGAAAAAAACACCTTATGGAACCAAGAGAGCCCGCATAGCAAGTCAATTCTAAGCAAGAAGAACAAAGCTGGAGGCATCATGCTACCTCTTTTCAAACTATAATACAAGGCTACAGTAATCAAAACAGCATGGTACTGGTACCAAAACTGAGATATAGTCCAATGGAACAGAACAGAGGCCTCGGAGGCAACACCACACATCTACAACCATCTGATCTTTGGCAAACCTCACAAAAACAAGCAATGGGGAAAGGATTCCCTGTTTAATAAATGGTGTTGGGAAAACTGGCTAGCCATGTGCAGAAAGCAGAAACTGGACCCCTTCCTGACACCTTACACTAAAATCAACTCCAGATGGATTAAAGACTTAAACATAAGACCTAACACCATAAAAACCTTAGAAGAAAATCTAGGCAAAACCATTCAGGACACAGGCATAGGCAAGGACTTCATGACTAAAACACCAAAAGCATTGGCATCAAAAGCCAAAATAGACAAATGGGATCTAATTAAACTCCAGAGCTTCTGCACAGCAAAAGAAACAATCATTATTAGAGTGAACTGGTAACCAACAGAATGGGAAAAAATTTTTGCAATCTACCCATCTGACAAAGGACTTATATCCAATATCTACCAAGAGCTAAAACAGATTTACAAGAAAAAAACAAACAAACCTATTCAAAAGTGGGCAAAGGATATGAACAGACACTTTTCAAAAGAAGACATTTATGAGGCCAACAAACATATGAAAAAAAGCTCATCTTGGATAAAAGCCCAAAACCCATCGGTACGCTGCATCTAGACCCATTTCACATGCAAGGCACAAAGACTCAAAACAAAGGGATGGAGAAAGATTTACCAACGAAATGGATAGCAAAAATAAATAAATAAATAAAAAGCAGGAGTTGCAATTTTTGCCTCTGATAAAATAGACTTTAAAGCAACAAAGATCAAAAGAAGCAAAGAAGGACATTACATAATGATAAAAGGATCAATGCAACAAGAGGAGCTAAAGATCCTAAATATATAAGCACCCAATAGAAGAATATCCAGATATATAAGACTTATAAGGAGACTCAGACTCCCACACAATAATAGTGGGAGACTTCAACATCAATATCAGACAGATCAATGAGACAGAAAATTAACAACGATATCCAGGACTTGAACTCAGATCTGGAACAAGTAAACTTAATTAACATTTATAGAACTCTCCACTTTAAATACACAAAATACACACTCTTAACAGTACCACATCACATCTACTTATAGGTTTAAATGAAATATTGGTTGGCTGCTTGTTTGTTATTTTCTTCCCTCATTTTTTTTCATGTCTCCATTATTAAGCACAATTATAGGCATACCCATTT